CAGCCCCGCCCGGCCCCCCACTGTCCCCCACAGCCAGCCCGGAAAGCCAGCACCGACCTATTGGCTGACATTGGGGGGGATCCCTTTGCTGCCCCCCAACCAGCGCCTGCCTTCGCCGCCTTCCCGGGCTTCCCTGGTGAGCTGGGGAGGGGCAGTCTGGGGGGGGCTGACCATGAAGGTGGGGGGGGCTCGAATGGGTCCTGACAGAGGGGATCTGGCAGGACTGCTGACCAGCGAGTGCTGGTCCAGGGGAAGGAAGTGACCTGCCAGAGCGGCCGCACAGGGGCCCAGCGAGGATGGCACTGGCCATGGAGTGCAGGGGGGCTGTGGGGGTGATCCTGTGCCCCCTCTGCACTCCCCAGGCCCGGCCCTGCCCCGTGCTGCCTTCCCCAGTTTCGATGCCTTCGGAGCCGGCCCAGGAGCACCCGCGTTTGGGGGGGCTGCGCCCCCCTTCCATGCCCCACCTGCACCCACAGGTACCCTGGGACCCCCCCAGGACTAATGGGGAGGAGGTTTGGGGTCCCCCATCACCCTGTGGGACGTTGGGAAGGGGTTTGGAGTCACCCCCATCACCCCATGCTACCCCTGGGGATAATGGGAAAGGGTTTGGAGGTTCCTCCACACCCATGAGGCCCCCAGGATTAATGAGGAAGGTAAGTTAGGGCCCTCCATCTTTGTGGAGTACTGGGGAGGGGGTTTGGGGTCCCCCACATCACCCTGGGGTCCCACCACCCCCCCGTGATAGCCTGGGGCTAACGGGGAAGGGTTTGGGGGACCCCGGGACCCCCACACACTACAAAGGGGGAGGGGTTTGGGCTCCCCCCCCATCACTGTGGGTGGTCCCAGGGGGTTTTGGGGTCCCCACATACCCCGGGGGGTACCAGGAGGGGACTTGGGGTCCCCCGCCATGGCCACATCTCTTCCTCCCACCCACAGGGGGCATTGCTGCACGGGGCGGGGCCACCCCTGTACCGCCCCCAGAGGGCGGAGCCTCTGCCAGGTACAGTGTCATGTCATGTGT